ATAGCATGTTCCTGGGAATAGAAATATTATATATCTTTTGTGAATTGCCAGTTTTATACGGAATAGTTTTGGTTTCCAGTGGTTTTCCATTATTTCTGATGGGCTTTTATGCTGGTGTAATATAAATAATCCACATGCTACTCTCTTTCTTCAACTCAGTTAAATTATTTTATTAGTTTTTTAATAAATAATATATTTTGATTTGAATCATGTAGTTGGTCTATTAAAAACTCTTTTAAATGGTTTTATCTAATGAAGCAGTCATTAATAATGGCTTATATCATTTTTTTTAAATAGAATAACATTTAAAACTTTGGCTGATGACACTAACAAGTCAAAGCCAAAAAACATTGCTAAATCAGTTTTTACATTATAATTTGAGGTATTCACAGAAAAGAACTAAATCTAATTAAAACTATAGTTTTTTTTTGCTTTGATTGCAGCTAAATTTCAGTGAAGTACAGAAACAAAATGTTGTTCTTCTTACCTTCAAAGTCAATTTCATCTGATGATTGATCTTCTTCTTGAAAAGTATTGGTTAAAGGATCCATCATTTCTTGTTTATTAGTTCACCATACTGAACCACTACTTACGTGAAAGAAGAAACCAAACATAATTTCATGTACAAAACTAATTTAATAAATTAATCCACAAATGCAGTCACATATTACAGTTATGAGTACTTGTGTGTGTATATAATTATACATAAACATATGTGTGCCACACTAATTTTGCAGCAATTATTATTAAAAATTATTATTGAAAATTTTCCTATAATTAAAAACAATTGTGTATTTCTGTAAATAACTATTAAAATTTTAATTATTTGACCTTTAGAATACTAACATCGCTTATAACAATATTACTTTTTAGTTGGTTTAGACTGGTATCCTTATGTTGAGTCTATAAATGTGAGATTTTACACTAGGCAACAAAAAATGAATTTTTCTCTGTTACTAGAAACAAATACAACTGTTTCTGAGTAATTTGATGATGTTGATTCTAAAAATCATGTTGAAAATTACCGATCACCTCTAGTTTGAGTTATGATAAATTTGTTCAAAATATTCTCATATATCATGAAATAACAACTTTTTCTTTAATAACTTTACTTATTCATTGAAAATTGCATTTAAGAATGTATATTCTGCATGCTTTGATAAGTTTCTTTCATGTTCACAGCATGAGCAACAGGAATTGATGGCTTAGTGTTCCCATTGTGCAAAAGTACAGCTTTAAACCTAACTTTAGATGAGTCGATAAAAAAGTCTTCATTCTATAGTATTGCATTCAGTACCTAATTCTTCCATTAGTGCATCAACATTTGTACAGAAACACAAACTATCTTGCGTGCCGTAGCTATTAAGTTCCATTGCTGTAAACAAGAGCCAAGAAGTTCGCCATGCTGCTTTAATAGAAACAAGTCACAAATTAGATCATTCAACTTTTCTTGTCTGATCAGATGAGGCAGGTTATGTTGAGATGCTACAGGAATAGAATTACTAGATGAAGAGAATGAAGATGATGCATTGTCTTCTTTGTAGGATAACTCTTCTGTTTCCCAATTCACTGGTGGATGTGGCACTGGAAAACCATCCACATGGGTTATTGGCTTCATTACAGATGCAATATCTGGATAATTAATGTATTGTTTAGCTTGGCCTGAATATCAGTAAATATTAGTCATGCAAAATTAACTGTCAGTTAGATTATCCTTTGGCTCACACCACATCATGGGAACTGTAAATGGCATACTTGTTCTCTTCTTATTCAGCCACTGTATCAAGCCAGATGTGCAAACTTTTAAAATACAGATGTGGAGCTCAATGTTTTTCTTGGTCCCCAATTTTACAGATAAAATAGTGGTAGTAAGCTACCTCTCCCTTGTGCGTGATGTTTTCCCTTCACAAAACTGTAATATATATTCCACAAATGTAGCAGAAATTGTTGGA